TATCAAATTTTTGTCTCATAAATATTATTTTCGATTTTGATCAAATTTTTATCTCCTAAATATTATTTTAATTATTATTTTCGTATTTTATCAACTTTTATCTCATTAACATTATTTTAAATATTATTTTCGATTTTTATCAAAATTTTATCTCTTGAATATTAATTTAAATATTATTTTCGATTTTTATCAAATTTTTATTTTCGATTTTCATCAAATTTTTATCTCCTAAATATTATTTTCAATTTTTATCAATTTTTTATGCCTGAACTTGCCAAATCACTCCTATTTTCAGCCATAGATATCTCTAATGCACAAACAATTAAATCTCCTAAATATTATTTTATCTCCTAATTTTTCAGCCATAAACATCTGAACACTAAATATTATTTTTTGATGATATTATACTAATTATCGTATTCCCAAAGATGGACGATTCTCAAAGACTTCCCTTAAGATTCTTAACACTTTTAACTTCTCTCTTCTACTTCAACACGTTTGTGTTTGCTCTTCTTATTTATATCCACCTCGATCTACAACATTTGAATTTTATTTCTTCATCCTACTTAAGGCTTCTTCTTTTGGTAACCCGACTTTAGAATTTTTTTCTTATTTTCTTCTTCATCCTATTGAGTGTGTGGTAATTAGTTTGCATCTTTTTCCATCATGGCTTATAGGTAATTTATTTTTGTTAAATTATGTGTTACATTAATTTATACCAAAGATTTCAAATTTTGTGTATAACAATTATTTCCTTTTTGATGTTATTGGACATGTTATAGAAAGGGATGATTGGAGAGAACTAAGCAAAAATGGGCGGAACCACAAGCTATTGGAAGTCGGCCTTCAAGACATATTGTTTGTATGGATATTTAATTTATTGTTTATATTTATTTTTGTTTCTAAATTTTCCAATATAATTGTTAATTCCAGTGACAAAACAGGACCAAAACGAGGCAGTGAAGAAGGGCTTAATTACGATGCAAGATGTATAGATGGCCTTTTACGTTGTCGATAGTTTAGTTTTGATTAGGTTAAGTAAGTTATTAAATCTAATTACTTTTAAACTCAACATGAAATACATAGTTGATGATTTTGTTTTTGGTTCAATTTTTCAATCTAATGGTATTAGTTGATTCAATTTATTTAGAAAATTATTCAACAGTAAAATTATTTGTTTTTTTTTTTTTTTTTTGTGTAGTATATTTAGTAATGTTCCACTAATGAATTATTAATGAATGATTATTATAACAATATTTTGATCATACGATACATCAAACGTTTGTTTATATTCTTACAATATCAAAACAATGTAATTTGTTGCCCCGTGCATCGCACGGGGACAATTACTAGTGGTAAATAAATTAAAGTTACAAGTAGCAAAATATATGTTATATTAGGAGATTTTTTTTAAATATTAAAAAATACCTACATATTCAACATTTTTTAAAACAATTGAAATATTGAATTTTGGAATAATTTATATTATATTTAATATTGAAGAAATGGTAAATAAGTTAAAGTTACAAATAGCCAAATATATGTTATATTAGGAGATTTTCTTCGTGTAATATTAAAAAATACCCACATATTCAACATTATTTAAAACAATTGAAATATTGTATGTAATGGAAAATTAGGAATAAAAAAGAAACAATAATAGAGAGGTTGAGACTCTCAGGTTTCGAACCCTGTACCTCGGACGAAGTCTATAAAGCACTTAACCAGTTAAGCTACAGCATTGCACTGACAAGGTTTTACATTTGCAGGTATATATTGATAAATATATAGGAAATAATTTTTTTTTAAAATACAGGGTGTGCAGTAGCACACCCTTGGACCACACTAGATACGCCACTGGTGGGGTGAATGGTGGT